TTTTGTTTTTGTATTTTTAGGTTTTTAGCAAAATGGCGGAGTGGATCTCACTCTCTTTTGTAATAAAATGTGTCATTTATGTTTCAAAACAAATAATAAAAAATATGAGTGATTTGGTTAAAAAGATAGTGCATTTATCATCTTCTTATATATATATATATATATATTAACAGGATTTGTTGTTGTATGCTAGTTTCTTTCTTTCTTTAATTTTTTGTTCCTTTTTTTAAAAAAAAAAAAAAATTCATAAGGTTAATTTCATCATTTCAATTTGTTATTATGCCTCTTTAATGTTTTCATCACATTTGAATTTTTTTTTTCTTTTGAGGAAGATGTTAGAGATTTTGTGTTGTGTAGGCATGTAACCTGGATCAATTTTAATCTTAAAGAAAATAACTTTTTTAAAAAATATATATAAATGTCCAATGAGATTAGTAAATGCAGTAATGATTAGGAAAAAAAAAATAAAAAAGAATCAGAGAAAGAAAAATAGAATATAAACAAATAAAGAGTAAAAAATTGGTATTTGACTTTTCATTAAAAAAAAAGAAAAAAAAAGAAAAAAAAAAAAAGAAAGAAGATGGAAGAAGAAGAAGAAAAAAAATAATGATAAAAATATTTATAATAATATGAAAATACTATATGTTATTCCATTTATAATATATTTATATTAATTCGACTCAGTCATAATTTATAAACTCACGTTGGGGCTAAATGTGGTAGCCAACCAGGTTGATTCCTGCCATTTTGTTGGAGGAACTTTCAAATTTGCCACTACCTCCAAATTTGGCGGCACTCTTCTTCATCTCTTCCCTCGAATCGGTGGCTTCAACTTTCAACCCATCAAACCACTCTCTATCTCCTCCAAACCCTGCAAAACCCAATACCCATTCTCAGGAAAACCATCTCAATTCTCTCTCTCATCTCCACACACCCAAAACCCACTCAAACCCTAACCCTAAACCCATCCTCAGTGGCGCCATTAACGGTTTCAAGAACTCTGCTTTTCGGTACTGGCATCGACCCTTTGTTGCTCGAATACTTCGAACGAAACGTGCCAAATTTGTCTGACACTCGAACTATGTTGTTGATTTTGAGTTCTTTGGGTGCTGAAATTAATGATTTTGATGGTGAAATGTTGGTCAATGCAGATGGGGTTTGATCTGTGGAGCCTTTTTAGGATTAATTTGGGGCCATTGCTAGCTCGGTGAGGCGGTGGTGGCGTTACCTGGTGGGTGTGATATTGGAGCTCGCCCAATTGATCTGTACATTTGTGGCATTCGTGCTCTTGGCGCCATTGTCAAATTGAGGTTAGTGTACCTAATGAGTTTTAAGCATTCAAAGTGTAATGTTTCAAATCAGTAATTTTTTTTATCTTTTTATCTATACTGTTTGAAATGCCTTTTAGTCCAACAGAATAAAGAAAAAAGAAAAGAAAATGAAACAAAGAAAGAAAAAAAAAGGAAAAGCCACAGACAGCAGAAAGAAGAGAGGTAATCAGGAGGTTGGTGAACTCCAGTATAGGGTCCTGAAATAGTTCCACATCTAAAAAAAGCACCTGCCTTTGAATTGGTAGACACCTTAGGCAGGAGAAAACTACTTCACTTCTAATTAAGTGCAATAGTGGTTGATCTTTCTGATTTGTCCTGTTAAATATGACGGCCTGAATGTTAAATTGCAAATGCTAGTCATAACTTCATGATCCAATAAACAGGAAATAAAATAGGTGTCATATATACCCTTGAATGATGAGACCCCAATATAGGTTACTTACTATGCAATGATGTGAAGAGACTAAAACTGAGCTTTATACAACTTAAGGGATGGAAAAGTTTATGCTTGTGCAATAAATGGCAAAGGGTTGGTGGGGGAAGGTTCCGACTTGACTGTCCTAGTGTTGGGGGCAACTGAAACTCTTATGATGGCAGCATGTATGGCTGATGATTGACTGTTCTTTCAAATGTAGCTCAAGTATGATATGAGTAATTTTACTGAATTCTTTTGTTTCTCATAGGAATTTTACATGAGCTTTCTGATATAATGCGAGTTCTGCCCCTGGTTCTTTCACCACAGAAACCGTAGGTGATTGATCTTGCTAGTTTTCTTATGGACAGTGGGCAATTTGTGAAAGGAGCAGGCACTTGCAAAGTTTTGTCAAAGGAAGGAGTCAGTTACATGGTTCTGAACATACCATAATACCAGATCGAATTGAAGCAGGCACTTTATGCTTGCTGCTTCAATTACTCTTTCGTGCATCTCAATTTCGCCCGCCATTACTTGTCATTTATCATGTTTAATTGACAAACTTTTGGGTGCTTGTTGCAGAATTTTAAATTGTACTCATGACAGGTTGGAGGTATGATAGTTTTTAATAATTTTGTATTTCTTTTAGTCATTTTCCCCACTTTGTATGAAGGGTGATAATTGGCACCCCAGTTTTCGGTAGTTCCTGCAAATGCTGTACATAATCTGCGTGCTTTCAATGTTAAAACAAGCCTGTTTCCTGATTTCTTACAGACCTCCAACCTCAAACAATGGCACTGCTCATTTCTTGCAATGGTTTAAGTATTGTGGAGAAATTGTGTTTGAAAACCGCATGGATCATGGTAAGTGTGCTAAATGGATGTGTGTGTAATTTGGCACAAATTTAGTCTCTTTCTTTGAGTTAAAAATTTCTTCTATGTTTAAGCTACTAAAAAATGAGGTGTTTGGATGAAATTCTGACCTGCATAAATATAAGTATGGTTGATGAAATTTTATTTGCAGAACAAGAAGTTGTTTGGTTGACTCATCTGGCAATTATCTTTAGCTTCAGGCTTGATGCTTATTGGTTGCACATCAATATAGTATGCATTTGAGGTTATTTTCAGAACTACAATTGTAAATTATTAGATCTTTTGCCTATACATTTAGAGGTTGCTTATTGCATTAGCCAGACAGTAAGCCATCATCCAGCAGTTGCTATATTATTGTGTGTTGAATTGCTGAAGGGACTGCTTAACATTTTTAAAGGCGCCAACGCTGGGTATTGAGGCTTGTTATCACATGCCTCCTGTATCCAATTATTTTCTCATGCTTCCAAGAATTTGCTTGGTTGACTATCATCTGGAAATTGTCTTGGGCTGCAGGCTTGATGCTTATGGGTTGCACATCAAAATACTATGCGTTGAAGTATTTATAAATTTAAGTTACACCCTCTCTAACAGCTTAAGCGTTAAGAGTAGATGGTTGTTAAGAACCAAAGGTTTCATGTTCAAACCTCACTGTCACTCTGATAATTAAAATTGAAACATGTGTTGGACCAAAAGAAGGTCATACGTGAGGGGGTGTGTTGAAGGATTTATATATTTAAGTTACACCCTCTTCAATAGCTTAAGCTTTTAGAGTAGATGGTTGTTAACAATATGCGTTCAGGATTCTTTTCAGGATTACTTTAGGATTCTTTTGAGGATTACAATTGTTTATTATTAGATCTTTTGCCTATCTATTTTGAGGTTTCTTATCTCATTAGGCAGACAGGATGCCATCCAACAGTTGCTATATTGTCATGTATATGTTGATTGAAAGCGCTAGATGTACATATCTAAAGAGGCCAATATGGAAATTGAAGCTTGTTATCACATGATTCTGTATCCAATTATTTTTTTCTGTTCTCCAAGGGGCAGAATAGTTGTCTATATCATTAAGTTTATATCTTTGCTTTATTTCTCATTTGTTCCTATCATTTTGGGTAGCAAAAGATCTGCAGAAGGTTGGACCAAGATTCCAGGTTTTCGGGAGCACTGCATTGTTTTCGGGAAAGAAAAAGGAAGGTTATATCTTTACCAAATATATGATCTTAAATTATTTCTTTTTGAAGGCATTTGAAGATTGAAATTGACGATTCCTTTGAATTGTTATTTTGTTTTATGGTTCTCGAGTTGTTGCAACTAATTTAAGGGGTGGCTGCAGAAGGAATTACTGTTTTATGGTTCTCGAGTTGTTGCAACTAATTTAAGAGGTGGGATATCACTGGTTTTGGCAGGGTTGGCTGTAGTACAGAAGTCAGTGGGGTTGTTAATATTGATCGTGGTTATGAGAATATCGAGATGAAGCTTCAGCTTATAGGAGCAGATGTGGGAAACCGTTAATTCCTGTTGCAAGGCCACTGTAACAAGTATGTTTTCACCTTGCTTGTTGGAATTCAGTTTTGAGATTATTGCTACAACGTTGTGCTTCTGAAGCCCATTATCACCCATTACTTGCTAACCTTCTAACACTTGCAACTTGTTTATCTTAAGAAATTGTTTGAGTGAGGCATCTTTAAATTCTGGCAAGATTTTGAGTTAGAATTTTCCAAGATTGAGTTTATTCATATCACTATGGCACAATTGACTTAGGAAGTGGAATCCATTAGGTACCCCTTTTTCAGGACGAGGCATCTAGCATTACTTTGTAATCTTAATATGCTGTTGCATAAATCTATTGTACCTGCTGGTGTAATATGAGATTAATTTAAATTGGCACTTATGGCCATTGTTTTGTTTATTTACTTTATTGTTACCCAAAATCTCAGTTTTATTGCACAACAGTTCATGTTCTGTGATTAAGGTATTCTATTGAAATTATATCATTAGCATAGTATTTTTTTATTTAATGCTCCTACCATTTATTGCCAATAGCTTTTTTTACTTCATGTCCTCCCATTCCTTACGTTTGCCATTATTATCTCTATCAATGGGCAAAGAAATTATTGCTGGTCTTGTAGTCCAGGTGGTGTATGGTTGGTCTCTCAGGCACCTTTCTGTGACTGAATAACTCGGTCTGTGGAACTGTTGAACCATTTGAGATGGTTAGATGCGTGGGGCATAGGGGTAGTACCCCTTTTGATAATTTTAATTGTCTAATCAGTCATGTCTCAAATGGAACTGAACCCACTGAGATCATTTTCAACTTGTTTAGAATCCATACAAGCTTGGTCATACATAGATAATTAACAATAGTATGTACAATTAAAGAAAATTCTGACAAAATGTACTGGTTTTTAAATCTGAAAGCTTTCATATGTTGTACGCGTTTTAAACTTTTTCTATACTATACATGATGAAAAAAAACTTAAATGTTGTAAAAATCTGTAGAAGGTTAATTCTGTTATCTTCCCAATCCACCGATTATTAATTTTTAATGTGTAACACCTTAAACTGATTGGTGGCAGTCGCCACTCACTCTCAAGATCGGTAGGCTAATTATATGTCAATTGATCTTTTCTTTGCTCATTGTATTGCATATTCAAGCTTGTTAGAAGACTCAAACTGAGGTCCATTCTTTTTTTCCCTTCCTTTTCTTACTTCTCTGCTTCTAAATTCTCATTAGTAATCATCTTAGTGCATTCACCCATCTTCTTGTGAAGGAATTTGAGAAGGCAGTGGAGGGAAATTTCAGCATTGGTGTTCTTCATCAGCTCTCCAGCAACTTCTGCAGGGGTGACCTTTACCTCCTTCAAGAGTCCTTCAATCTGATCAAATAGCTGGTGGTGGCAAAGCCCCTGGTAGTTCAAAGCTAGTTGCTTGAATGCAGAGAAGGTACAGTATGACATTTCGACGTGCATGTCCATACGACCTGCTCTGAGTAAAGCAGGGTCAAGCCTTTCTTTGTGATTGGTTGTGAAAATGATTACACGTTCATCTCCGCAATATGACCAGAGGCCATCGATGAAGTTTAGAAGTCCTGAGAGCGTCACCTTCTGGGAGTTGTCTTGTACCTCCCCATCCTCTCTGTTTTGGAGCTTGATAGTGCAGTCAATATCCTCAATGACGATTATGGATCTACTGGATGTGCTAAGCAAGAGAGACCTTAGATGCCAATTAGATTGGACATCTGCTAGATCCAAATCATATATGTCAAAGTTTAAGTGATTAGCAATGGCCGCGATCAAGCTTGACTTGCCTGTGCCTGGAGGGCCATACAGCAAGTAACCGCGCTTCCAAGCTTTCCCAATTCTTCTATAGAATCCCTCTCCTCTTAGAAAATTTTCCAAGTCCTCCACTAATGCTTTCTTTAGGCCTGAATCCATTGCCAGGTTCTTGAAGGTCATGGGGTGGCTGAGATTGACTGCATTTGAGTCCCAACCATCATAAGGAGCAACGGTGCGGAGCTTTATTGCCTTGCTTTCTTCTTTTATTGCCTTGGATCTCTCTAAAATGTATGGCAAGTATGAACCCAGCACCTTCTCTTTGTGTTTCTTGTGAAAGCTCAACTCATAGGACTTGATTTCTGATCTTAAAGTTGCATTAAGATCAGGGCGATGTCTGAAATTTACTGCATCAACCTGTGTACAAATCAATCTCCATTTTACTTGTACATTTTCAAAAACATCAACCATCTCTTCATTCCTATCAATGGTGATTTCTACTCTCTTCTCGTTCTCTGCCTTGCTCAATCTCACTCTTTGAGTTGATGGGTTTACTATAGTGCCTAAATATACATTGGCGGCCTCAAAAACTTGGTTCACGAGTTGCCCTTGAAATTCTTCTATGACGATGGTGAACTGAGAAGAGAAATGGTGAGAAAGGTGATGAAATCCAGAGAAGAAAAAGTTATGGATCCCTGGTGGGAGGAATTCATTTGCAACACTTCGAATAAGCATTGCCGAAGCAGCAAGAGAGGCTGCTGCAGAAAATACAGCTTTTATATCAGGAATTCTTTGAGGAGACATTTTTCAGGACTTGGAAATATGGAGATTTTCTATCAAATTATGTGAAAGGAATGAGGAGAAAAGAGAGTATGAAGAAGGTTTCTGTTTGGTACATCTTAGGATTCACAGCCGATGATATTTATAGGTACAAAGCCTGGAAATTACAGGCCAATTCAATGGGGAGGACTTCTAAATGACTTTTAGTTCTGTAATTTCTTGGCTACCAAGCCTTTTGAAAACCATGTATGAACGTCTTAGAGATTTGGTATGCTTCTGCGAAGCTGGAAATCATAGACCATTCAATTTAATTGAGAGGACTTTTAAATGACTGAAATTTCTTGCCTACCAAGCCTTTTGAAAATCATGTATGAATTGGTCCACCATAATCTTCTCAATGTTGGGGTATGTCCTCAACCTTATTCGATTGAATTTTCTAGGAAATTAACCCTACCACAAGAATATAAAATTTAGTGAAATTTCTAGGATATTAACCCTGCACAAGAATTCGAAATTCATCCATGTAGTGAAATTTCTAGGATATAAAGCCTACCTAGCCTTTCTAAAATCATGTATGAATTGATCCACCATAATCTTCTCAAACCCGGGGCATGCCCTCATTCAAGTGAAAATTCTAGGACATTAGGCCTACACAAAAATTCAAAATTTATCAATGTAGCGTCCGAGTATCAAAGCTTTACGCGGGATGAAGTAATTTAAATTTACTTTAAAAATTTAAATTTAAGAAAAGACATGATGCATAATAAATAAATAAAAAATGGAAAAAAGGAGAATTCATACAACAAACCAATTCATATGGTATAATTTGTTCGACTCAACAAATATTTATGATAATTAAATATAACACTTCTTTTATATAGTCCCTGCACATATTACATCTTCTTCACATAAAAAAAAAATAATAAATAAATAAAAAATAAAGTAAAATAAAACAAACATATATAGCTGCTTCAGTAAATGAAATTAGTATATTCCTCGTTTGTCCATTTCTTCATACTCTGGCCCTTAAAAAGAAGGATTACTGCAACATCGAAATTGTAGAAAGGAAGATTCCATCCATCCATATCAACATCTAACGGAATATAGTTGTAGATCATTCAGATATAGTTAAATTAATTTTTCTCTAATTCCAATTCCAATGCAACAATTTCATGCAACCAAACATTGCATTCCATAACTAAAAGTCTGAAATTTGAGTACACTAATGTTAACACAAGTAAAGCAGATAAACGTAACACAAATACATTTTCACTATCAAATCAGGGAAGAGACGCTAGAAAAAGGATCCTAATTTCAGTTAGCAAATGAGATCACTGAATAATAGTGTATCCACTAATGGTTGCGCTTCTCGAATGCAAACATATTAGAACCAATATAGACTTCACTTGTACATCTAGTGTCATTTTGGTATTCTCTTAAGCAGTTTGTACATGCCGAAAACATTTTTCTGCTGCCAAAGGTATGGAATGAAGAATGAACGGTACATGGAAGGCGATAGCTCCCTGTCCAGATAAGGCAATGCCGCAACAACCTGTGACGGAAAAAAAATATTAAGGAAAAAAAATAGTGTGGAAAAAAATAGTGGAGAGAGAGAGAGAGAGAGAGAGAGTTTACCTCCCATGTTGATAAGTCACTTCCTCTGGTGGGGTAAGGTCGTTGAAGCTGCAACTCAACAAGGAAAGTACAATTTGCCAGATCCTGGAGCTGTAAATTGAGGAATTTGCTGGCAGGTCAATTTTCAAAATATTTTAAAGAAAAAAAGGAAGACAAATAACAAGAAAAAAGGTCGAGATAAATGAAGTAATTCAGCAAGAATTGCTTTAATTACATATTGTTCATCTGATGCCTTGTTCTTGTTGTTAAAATAAGGTGGTGCTGCGGAAGTCCCGCCCAAGGTAGTATTAAATGGGAGTGGTAGAAGACCCCTGAACCCGTCATCTATCCACCGAACTTCACCCACATGATCAGGTATAAAAAAGGATGATGGGAAACGATGCCATTCACTTCCAACACAAACCACAGAACCTGCAATACATATAATCTGGAAAAATGATTTTCTGTTTTTCAAAAAGAAATGGAAAAAATTTAACCATGCTACCTACTAACATTCAGGATTTGGTAACTACTCAATAACAGAAAAAATTATGAAATTTATGAAATTGGGAATTAATCAGTAAAACTCAACACAGCTCAACTCAATAAAACCTTACAAAATTCTCAAAGAATCAGAAACGAAATTCTGGATAAAGATCAAAACAAAAACAAATAAGACACACTTGTCAAAAACTAAAGAATCATAAATGTTAAAATTTACTAAATTCACAAATAATTTGGGAATTTATTAATACCTGCTTTTTTTAAATAAAAAAAAAAAATCATTAATGTGTCATGAACAGTTGCACCATTTGCTTTGATTGTGAACTAAACCCGGAAAAGAGTGTCTGTAATGTTGGATATGGCTGTCTTTTTTAATATAATAGTAATATTTTGTATATTATATTGCTTAAATAATTGCAAATAATGTAATATACATATGTATGAGTATATCTAGGAAAGTACATATTTGTAACAAAAAATAAATTTTTAAAAAAAATTCTTCCAGTGACATCTGAACCATCCATCTCCAAGGATTTATCTAATAACTTCCATGCTGAGTGACTTCAGTACTTGTACCAAATGCAGATATAGGTCAGATTTATTCAATTGCCAAACTTGTGGACATGGCTAAAATTCTTTATATATATATATATATATATATAATTTAAATTTATATTATAAGGTAATATGGCGTTTTATGTCATATAGTATTAAACATATAAACTTCATACTTTTTGAAGCAATAATGTAACGAAGATATAATATGAGAGTTTTATATACAATAAGTATAAAATAAACATGAATTATTGGATATGCTTGCTATATGCTCATACTTCAATACCTATACCCAAGTGTTGTGTGTCCGACATGAGTACTCCATGCATTTAGAAGAGTACATGTAAAATTGTTTAGTTAAATAGTGTAACGTAGAGATTATCACATCTCATCTTCATTTAATTGTAAACAAATTAAAGAACAAAAGTGACAGAAATGCATTTTAACTATCTTCCAGCATACAAATTACTTTCTGATAGGATCTTTATATTAAAAAGTAATACAATTTCCTGCATACTGGAGGAAAAGTTAAATTTTAGTCATAAAAAACCAGCCCCACAGGGTTGCTGTTATAGTACCAACTTTTAGAATCAAATATTTCCGAACAACAAGGAAGCTTTCATGAAAAGTTACTGGCAATTTTGAAACAGGGTCCCATGGTTTGAGAATTATCACAATGCTTTCCGCCACTTCAAGATCAATAATAGCAACCAAAAGGCCCCTCTAGCCAATGGTATAACCTCCCCATCCTCAAAAAGGAGGGGAGGGGTTCGAGCCTGGGCGTCGGCAAAAAAAGCGTGTTTTTGCTTTACCATTCCAGGGGGAAAAAATAAAAAATAAAAAGAAAAAAGATCAATAATAGCAAATACAAAATGGGGCACTGATCCTCACCCATTCCTGCATCATCGTGATACTCTAAATGCTTGTATATCTCCAACGGAGCAGAATAACCATGAATCAGGGAAAATGTCCGAGCATGGGAGGCACATAAAATGAGTCCAAGAACCAAAGGTCTGAAAACTTTAGCTGTCTGCATAAGCAAGAAAAGAGAGTTAAAACTTTAACCAGCAATTTAAAACTTAATCCAACAATTCTAACTGTGATCACTAGAAAAAAACTGTAGGAATGTAGGAGAAGCATACCATGACTAATGGAGAATTATCATTGGGACTGTACTTGTCCCGGAAAAGATCAGGAAAGCTCTCAATGACAGCTGCGGCAGCTATACAAACAAGTGGGTATATTGGATAGAGGAATCTGCAATGATAGCCAGTGCTCAATAGCAAGTAAAAAACAACAATCCATTACATTGCTACCCTCCAATACCAATCCAAGATTGACTAAACAATATAGCATCTTTGGATTCCTTTAGAATGTAGGATTCTTTACCAAGAGGTTTGAAATCCAATTTGGCTCATTAAATGAGAGGGCATTTTAATATGAAATATTAGTAGTTGGTGCTGCATGTGGCCCCACAAAGTGTTCAGCACATTTCAGAATTCTCCAAAAATTCTATCTGAAGCATGTGGTTTGTTGGTGATAGCATGCATCCATAGTAATTAGCTCTATTCGAAATGAATTATAACCACTCTGGTATTTAGGGAAAAAGAATTATAACCACTCTAGTGTTGCCATAACTTAAAAATTAAAACAGAAACAACAGCAGCAACATCAGGGCGACAAGAACTATACAGACACATAACTTAACAAAGAATGTTGTAACCAATCCATCTCGTCCAGTGTGATCCAGCAATTGGTCAATGGCTATTTGAATCTCTCTCTAGTTCTTCCTTCTCGAGTATACGTATTACAGGCTATGTCACTCATTCACAGGCACATAAGATGTATCTCTCTCTCTCTCGTTCTTTACAAGGGCTCTCACTGTAACATGTAAAGTGAAGTCAAACTATCAATTAGAATAAGCCTACTTATCAAAATGATGGGCCAGCTCGTATAATATTAAAGATTAACTTTCCATTGATATCTGCCACTACGGTCACTAAATTTTTTAATTACACATAAAAAGTGCTGTAACAAGCAATGGCCCCTGATCAAGATTGACATCTAAGTATCAAACAAGTGTCTTCCTCTAGGTTGTGAGTCGGGTAACTCTTCCTATGTTCCTCGCTGGGGGTCGAATAAAAATACTTTTTAGAAGTTCATGAATGCTTAATCACCATAACAGAAGGTTTTGTTCCGTTGATTGTCTAGGTTGGATGGATTGGCCTGATGCTCAACCAACCATCACTCTACAAACAAGCAAATTTTAGCCCTTGCATGCCCATAATGCAATAGTCTGCTGCCTAATTGATAGTGGCCGAACCAGTTCATTTTCCATCGCTTCCAGGAATTTAACACTGAACCAAGTAATGGACGTTTTTAAGGCCATAATACAGGTGATTTGGTGCTTGGTGGGACAGATCAAATTAGGATTTGGATTTTCAGTTGCTTAAATCATGCAAACCTAGTTGTTAACTTCAATCCATGTGTCCGTACAAGCATTTGCTATGTTTTGCAGTGAGGTTTCCAATGGTTAAATAGAAGAAAGAGATTAGTCTGCAACAAAATATACAAAAGGCTGGAATGAGTCGAACCTTTCTTCTTTGTGCGGCTGCAAGGACATAAATGCTAGCCAAATATAAATCGGTGAAATGACAATTAACAAATCTGGAGCATACTTCTTCCTTGCAATTGGCAGAATCCCCAGGAACAATAAAGCAAGAACGAAACAGAAGTTGAAATTATTAAATCCATTCCTCAGGTAATATAATGACCCTTCAGTTCCATACAAATGGCTCTCACCACCCCCCAAAACATTATAATACAGCAGATTCAGAACAGATGATGTCCATCTTTGGTAGTAGTAATAGTCAACAAGTAGAGAGAGTGCCTGAAAAATATCAAATAAAAAATATTCATAGTGCAATGTCCATCAATATTAAATACTTGAGACAATTATAGCACCACAAAAAGAATGGTATAATATTCATAGTTCCGATAAAATTATAAGCAACTACTGAACTTACCAGAAGAGCAAGAGAAGTGACTGCCCCTGAAAGAAATGCTTGTTTGAACCTCCTCCTCAAGGAGTAAATTGTAATTGGCAGAAAAGCCAAAATTGAAAACGGCCAGCCAAGAACAACCCCAACAACTGCCACAGCAACAGCCATGGCAGGTTTGTCAAGAAGAAATAATGCTGATGACAATGACATAGCATACATGGAGAATGAACTTGGCAAAAAACCTGCATATAGCCCAGATGCTTGAAGTGAAGTTTGAGAGAACAATGGACATGATAATCATTTCTCAGTGAAATTAGACCAATACAACCGACATGTCAAATTTAGTAATTGGTTCCTGATGCCTTAATAATTAACTTTACAGAAGCCCAATAGAAAGAAAAAAAAACTAAGATTAACAATTAAATGAGACAGGAATACTTACTCGTGCTAGCAAAAAAACAACCACTGGTTAAGCATAGCATTGCAAGAGCATAAGAAGCAAGACGTTTTCCATACTTCTTGGAAAGGACAACCACCAAAGCGGCCTCTGTGATGACGGAAAGAAGACCAAGAAAGATTCTCACAGCATAAAATACTCTCACCTGGAATTGTAAAATACATTGGTTCAAGAATAATTAGTTGTACAAATGAAATTTCTGCCAAATTAGGGATCCACGGAGGATTAATATGAAGAACAAAATGCTCACTTTTTCCTCACCAAACCACCAGGAAGCTGGTTTACCCACCAACTCATGAAAAACAATGTACAGATATGAACGAAGTGCAAATTGTGAGCTGCAGGAGAAACAATAATTCCGATCAAGAAAATCCTCAAAAGTGGTTCAAGCTCTAGCAATGAATATACCATCATAATGACCTAGATCCCTATACTACAGCATAATAAGACATCTAATACCCAAAAGAAATGATTACAAACTGGCAAGGTTGAATCTCAGCAAGTATGATAGATCAGACGAATGGGATGTGTAGGTAGCAGAGACAGATAGGGAAATAAACTGACCTTTACCACAATTTGTCCACTGTCAATCCACCGTAAGATACATAAATGGCCATTGCCAGAAGAAAATATAATTGAAAAATGGACAGAAAATACAACTTCAAAAACCAGATGCAAAAATGAGTTTTTATAGAGACGAGCACTACAAAGAATCAGACTACCATGTGAATATAGAAGGTAAATAATACTATCCTCTGGAAGAATATAGCAACCAGATGAAACTAAAAAATCGTTTTTCCAAAGTCAATATTAAAGATGGAAAGTTCAATAGTGGAAGTACGGAATGAATTTTTTGGGTAAGGAGCTAAGAATGGATATAAAACAAGAGACGTGGATGCAACATGACCCAGATATGTTGTTATGGCAATGTTTAAAAAGTAGACAAGGATGTGGCAAAAACGTGGCAACAATGTATGTATTTTAAAGATAGAGAAATATTATACAGCTGTAACGTTGATTTGCAATTTATTAATCATACAATTTTAATCACCCATGGAACATAGAAAAAGACATGATAGAACACAACACGTATCTGTATGTTTTTATTTGTGTATGTATATAGTTATGTATATGTAAAATACACACATAATTTGATAACTCAATTGACTCCTCTCCTACTCCCTTGCCCACTCCCCATCAACAAAGATCCATTTGTTATTTAAATAAGTTCACACTTTATATAAATTTTATATAGACCTTTGATAAATTTTTCTTACAATTATACTTTGTTTCCATGTTCGAAAAAAGTCCCATGTAATGTTTAAAGTCTACTGGTCACATACTAACACATATTCAAGATGTGTTGACCATGTGTCTAAATAAAGAATGAAATACCAATTATGGACAAGTCCAAGACAAGTGTTCGGGAGTGTCCAAGAACTGCAGGTATCAAACACGTACACAACATGGATATGTTCCTTCTTAAAAGTGTCTATGTTCCTTATATTAAGGAGGAAGTGACTGCGCCCAAAAAGAAAAGGTACTACTGAAAGCAATATCATGATGTCCGATAAGCTGCTGCAATTTTTTTATTTTTTTGGAAATCACTTATCGCATTACGAATGTCCCAATTTAGTGAAATATTTGAACTTCCAGAACCACTAACAGTGAATGGGCCAAAAGCAAATTGCATAACTAGTGAAGTTAGGCTCTACTAACTTCTCAAGATTACATGATGTACTGAGGTCATACAATTGTTTGCTATTGAAGTTCGGAAGTTATAATGAAACCTTTACGCATACAGCATAGTATTTTGAATGATGGAGAGTTTTATTTTTTATTTGTTTGAACCTTCCTTAGAGGCGTTTGCTTCTATTTTTGAATGAATAAATATGGACTACTGGAAGTTTATTTTTAACTGTGGGTGTTGAGTTCACACCCAAAAAGCCCTAGACCGAATGCTTAAAATAAGCCTGCTCCACTTAAAGTTTTTAGAAAGCTAAAATGTCTTATAAGCTTTTGTTTCACTCTCAGCTTCATTATTTGAAGTTCAGATAGGGTGAAGATAGATCAAGTGATTATTACACTCTAAATTTGCTTCATCTACATGGAGAAACATGTTTCCTGATTTAGATTAATGCCGACGTACACTTATATTTGCAATGGAATTGCTGAATAACTAGAAACTTAATTGCAACAGATGAAAACTTAATAAAGTTTGAGATTCAAGCCTTTATACTGTCTATTTAAGATAGGGCAAATTGCACAGATTAACCCGAGGTTTCGTCAATATACACTGACCTCCCCCCTTGTTTGCCAAATTACACTTACCTCCATTGAGATTTGTATGTAAATAACACATGCCGCCCCTTCGTTGATGGTCAATGATGAAAAATGCAAACGTCATTACAAACCCGACAAGTCTAACATGGGAAGTCAGCGTAATTTGGCAAACAAGAGCGGAAGTCAGTGTATATTGACTGGGGAGGTAAGTGTAATTTACCCCTTAAGATATTTATAGGCATCAGACAAAAGAACCTCTAACAATAGCAGGAATTCAAATTATTTGTTAAGGAGAGTATAGCTTGTGTTACCTATTAGTTGTTCACCATTTTCAAGGATTTTGAAACGTCATTATACTTGGATTTATGGGAATGCGAGAAAAAAATATCCCACTGTTGAAATTCAATTTTGTATACACATGAAAAGCGGCCCAAGGATACATAAAAAATGTTGCTATGAAAATATATATACAGTACAATCACATCTTCAAAGAGCAACTGGAAAACCGTGATTTTGAATGGACCCAAAGCATTTTCCATGTCAATAGAAGTGGAAACACCTCATCTAAAAGAGGCCATCGAGTATAATAAGAGAATTAATATCCCCTGATAGGTATCATTTTCAAGTTTCCCTAAAGTAACAAAATTCAAAATTTAAAATTTCTATCATCCCTCGTAAGATGACCACCATCTCTCCTAAAGGCTCATTTTTCTTTTTACAAATGTTAGATTAATGTAAATGGGCCCATTCAATTTCCATTGACATCCAGACACACTTTTAGAGTTTATTTCAACTGGGGCTTCACAAATTCTTAAACTATGCAAGTTCTTAATCATTTATTTCACTAGCATTTTAGAAAGCAAATAAAATGACTACTTCATAATTCATTTGTGAATATTGGTTTCAGTTTCTCACGTTGTATTACTCACTAACAAAAGAAATGTAACTTTTAAATTAGAAAAGGCATGTAACATAATATAATGAAACATGTTTTCTTATTTATGTGAAAATTTTAGGGGGTTAGCAAAGGACACATCAATGTCATTTTAAGGCATGCAAAGAAGCTTTAGCAACTACAAGAATACTAGATTTGATGTTATGTCAAGTTAATCAGAAAAAATTCCATTTCACATTCTTATACCGATTCTTCCTGAAAGCAGTCATAGTTTATGTGCATATCTAGTCTGCCCCTTCCATCACCCTGGATTAACAAGACCACACTGGCTAATAACCCTTTTCATTCTTACCCCAATTATTCCCAAAATAGTATATTCTTTGTAGTAACATTACAACAATAAAGTTGAGTTCAACTCCAGTTTCTCCAACAGAAGTAGAGACAATAATCGAATTATTGATGGATAGAGATATAGGAAGTCAATAGTTACACCTTCGGTCTGTCAGATAGTAGTAGAAATTTTTGACACTAAAGCTACATTTCTATCAATCTTCTCAATAAAATATATTAAAAACTCCCAGAGATAAGAGTTAAAATCATAAACATCCAGTTCTTATATCTGAATAATCACAAAAGAGAAGCAAAAATTGAAAACTGGTCAATAATACAAAAGGAACAAATAAATCAAGTAAAATAAAGAGGTAGAAAAAAGTGTTAGAGAGAGAAAGTAATAGAAATGGAGAGAGAGAGAGAGAGAGAGAGATTAGACCTGTATTCCCAAGTTTGAAAACCTGATTTGTAGAGGAGGTAGTGAAGAGGCTCCCAGTAATTGAAGACCTCATCGCAGTCATGAATGATGTTCGATGTGGCGCTCATGTGCCTGAGCATCCCTAGGGCAAGCAACGGTAACAACCATCCCAATCCCTTGCCATCATCACCCTCTTCTCTGCCGTCTGATCTCTCCGGTTTATCGAGCTTCGTGTATGATGGCGATGGAGACGACGATGAAGAGACATCAGCCGTCAGTGGGCGTCTCTGCCGTGTCGTAAGAGCCATTTCCCTCTCTCTTTCTCTCTCTAAAACTCTCACTCTAGAACTCTGGATGATTGTATCTCCTTCCTTGTATGTCTTGCTTTTTAGCTTTTGCGCAGTCGTCTGTGCTTTGTTCTAAAGCCAGGCCGGTCATTTGAGTCGATGGTGTGCCGGTCCGGTTCAGTTGCGATCCTTCTTATAGAAGCAAGCAACCTGCGAAAACTATTGGGCTGGGCTGCAGTCAGGGAAAGTTGGGTTGGTTTCAATGCAGGCTTGGGTCGGTCGGATTGGTCTGCTTATGGTCCATTTAGGAACAGGCTAAATTGGAACCGGTTGGATAATTTATTTATTATTGAGTAAATTTTACTCAATAAAAGAATTTAACACCTTAAAGACTTCTGCCGTGGTGGTCAAGTATTCATCACTATACAATCGGTTCAATTAAATTCTCCATTCTTGAACAGTTGATAAGTCTCAATTTATTAATAATTTTTTTCGTCGGATTTGTAATTAATATAATTGTATATATTTATGTTATGTATCACTTTGTATATACAAGTATATCGACATGCTTGAATTTGATTTTATGAATTTCTTTGATGTTGGATTCTGCGGAGTTTCTTTCCTGCAACCACTGATGATCCTTGACAAGCCAAGAGACGCAGTTAGCAAAAGTGTGAGAAAATGAAGTGGGGGCGAATCAACATGTTCGGAAATGAAAATTTTGTTGAAAAATTCTAAATTAGAGGCAGTGTGGAAATATAATGCAATTCTAGTCCATGTCTAGATACATATATGATTTAAAATAAATGAATTTGGGTAGGTAATGAAAAGTCTAGAAGATGTACTAAATGACCACTATGTAACAAAGTCCTCTACAATATGGATGATGAAATATGGAACCCGTAGATTGTTGAAATTTTAATAGTGATCCTAAACTTTATTCAATCATGCTCTTGAAAAATTTTCAGGTCAGGCAAAGTTGTTAGTGGAGATCACCTTCGTGTGTGTGTGTGTGTGCGCGTATATATATATATATATATATATATATATATATATTGCCAAGGCTTCTTTGAGATCGAGAAGTGTTTTTTTTTTTTTTTTTAGTAATTGCAAATGACTCTGTAAAGTTGCAAAATATATGCGCTTTCGAAGTAGTTCAAATCCTCTGATTGATGGACAATGTCTGTGACCTTTTTCTTGATTCTTACAATTCAGGAACATTTGTGCAGGGTCGTGTGCTCACTTGTTTGTATGCTTTGTTGTTGATGTTAAATGTTTTCTACGTAAACTCTTTGGACCAAAACGATCCGGTGATTTATTGCTTCTTTAGAGTCTTTGTTTCACATCCGAAAGGGGGAACAGAAAACAGAACAATTTTCAATCATTAACCAGGTGTCTAGTTTTGAATCTATCAACCACATTGACGAAATGATGCAACTCTAATTAAACTCATTGTTATCTGGGAATTTTATTTCTTGAACAAACTTTTTTCCTGTAGATTATTATCGGCATAGTTCGGAGAAACCAGAGATTCATATGAGCAAAATGAATGCATAAAAATACAGAACAAAATGAAGTATGCAAATGATCCAAGTATAAGCTAAGAAGTTTAAGGAAAGAAACCATGTGCTCATTTGTGAAAGGATCAAAAAATTTGTATATTGCCTGCCTTTGCCTTTCTGTTGCTCCACCAAGAGGCTTTGTTCACATCGTCTCTGTTTTTTCCTACTGGGGACGGCCAACGCCTGAGATGTGATTCTGAGTTGGTAATGCTTTGGTTATCTAGTACTCCCTGAAACCCATAAATATTAGACAATAAGATGTTAGAAGAAGTGACGTAAGCGAAAGCATAAATTTGTTCACGAGGAACAAATTATCTTAAATTCATAAGGTGGGTATTTTGAATCCACAAAACAAAAACAAAACAAAAAGAAAATTTAAAAAAAATCTGATATATTATTTAATAATTGAATGAATTAAAGTTAATTCTGCATTCTGCATTACACTTATTTATAATAATAGAAACCTAACTTTAGAAGAAAACTAAAACATAAAGAAACTTAATAATAAAAGGAAAACAATTCCTCAAACAAATTTAATTAAACTACACTTCCTATAAAAAATATAAAAATAAAATAAATAAGGAATTTAAATAATAAAAATTACTAAGTACATAAAATTGTCCTACATCAGTCCCCACCGCTTCGAAGAAAATTCATCCTCAAGTTACGCTGCGACTCGTCATGTATTAATATGAATAAAATTTGATACCAATAACTTGACCTTAAAGCTGCAAAAACGTCTTCAATCATGATACGGAAAAATTCACGCTTTAAAAATACCATGGTCTGTCCCCGATTTGCCTCACCAGTAGTCATTGAATTGCACAAGAGATCACTCCTACTATGAACCTGAATGGCCACTTTCTTCGGCAAAGGAACCAAAGTTAAAGGCTTAAGATTATTGCATGGCAGCGGGTAACCATCCTGATAATCAATTGGCCAATTGCTTGCAATCAAGTTTTCATTGCAACCCATGGATAATGACAGATTCGTTAAAGAAGAAATCGGAGTGAAGCTTAAATTGCCAATAGAGGGCCCCACTACGATGACACCAGTAAAGTCATAAGGGTCACCTAATTAAAAATTCTTTGTTTTATCCGTGAGAATGGTGTGAGATATATTTTTGTAATTGGCTAATTTCGTTGCCAAAACAAGTCCGATTGAGTTGTAATTTTTCGATTACAAATTTCAAATATGGAAGATCGGATGTGGATTTGAAGAAGATTAAGTGTTCAAAATATACTACACTCCGAGATGATGAGAACAATGTTAGAAGAAGTTTTGAGAGGTAGTGAGAACATTTAGGAAGGGTTTTGAAAGGTTTTGAACAAGATTTTACATTCTGTCAATCTTGAATTAGTTCAAGATTTATCGAACAGTTTCAACTTGAACTGGTTCAAAATTTATCGAACAGGTTCAACTTGAACTGGTTCAAAATTTATTGAATAGGTTCAATTTCAACAGAGTGGCGATTTTAGAGTCTATCCATCTTGAACCGGTTCAAGATTAATCGAACAGGTTCAAGACGTCCTGGTACTATTCTAACTTCAATTTCCTTCTTTTGAATGTTTCCTTTTTTATCCCAACTTCCTTCTAAGTTCTATGCATGAAATTTATCATATTTTCTAAGGGATTAGGGCTTTCAAAACTCTATATAAACCATGTCATATACATTGGTTTATGATGGTTTAGGGAAAATCAATTCTATATTTTGAGAAAGCCTTCTAGAGAGAGAAAATTCAGAAAATCAAATCTGATTATTTTGAATTTATTTATGAGAGCATACACGTATATTCATGAGTGATTTAATGGTGTTGTTCTCTATCTCATCAAAATTGGAGCTATACTGAAGATTCAGATATTCCAGATGAAAAGTAGGATTTAATTCTTCTACATCGAGTTCAGATCTTGAAGAAGAAAAGTAAACGCAATCACACTTTGAAAGGGTTAGAGCATTCGTGGAGTGTTGTCTGATCTACCTGTTACTCTTCTACAAATATCAAGTGTCAATTTGAGATCAAGTTGCTGTTGGACGAGGAGTCGCAAAGCCAGAGGATCGTCAGCGGTTGGTATGGTGTAGAACGATAGGGTGTGAGCCAGAGTCAAAGTTCGGTATACTTTGTTTCAAGCATAGTGGATTGGTTTACTTTGGACTGAGTAGTCCACGAGGTTTTTCTCATAACAGTTGACGTATTTTACCAACTGGGGTTTCCTCGCTAAAATCCTGGTGCAATCTCTCTAACTCTAACTTACTTCACTTTTCATATATTTGTGATTGTGGATGTTTAAATTGATTATATAATTTAACCAATCATAAATTGAGCAAGTTGACCTAATAATTAGATCTAGGTCATTAAAGGAGTTAATCACAATTAAAATCAACTGTTTCCGAATCCCGCGTAACTCTTGTTTCACAAATGGTAGACTCTAGACTTGCTACATCACCAATTAACTCACCAATCAACTCTTCCACATCCTCCTCAACGTTGTTTAATTTGAAAACTTCATCAAGCGGATCTTGAACCGATCCATATTGCTCACTTTCAACAACTAATTGTTTTTCAGTGTCATCTTCTTCCACCGTATTAAGTCCCTTAATTGTATAATCTGTAACAATAAGAAGTGGAGCAACACAATTTTTCTTTTGATCGACCTCTATAACATCACTTGTTACTTGAACAAAATTACTTTGATCTTCATTCTTGTTATCTATTTCTTTCTTCTCTTCGAAACAATTTTTTTTAGATTCCCTTTCTTGGACACAATTTTTCTCTCGTGTAAACTTGTCCATTGGAGGAGGTCGAGGCTTCGAATGCAATCTAGTGGAAGAAACTTGGTTTTCAAAAGACGTTTCATCTTCAACCAAGATCGTATCGGTGCTTTTTCTTTGTCGTACACGAGTAACCTGCAATTGTTCCCACCAATTAGAAGCTCTTCCCTTCAATTTGTACGCGATGAGTGCCACCTTCCTATCCTCTGGAATCCCTAAGTAATCAAAGAACTCATCAAAATCTTCCAACCAATCTAGCAAATCTTCAACATGAAAGAGACCATCAAAACTAGGAGGAAAATTCCTAGAATCATAATCCCTATAATCATTATATCTTCGTGCCTCTCTATGATCCCCAAACACAGTTTCCTCATAGGCTGACTGACTATGCGGAGGGAAGGGAATGTGATTACGAACAGGATGAACACGATCTACGTCATTACGCAACCTTTGATCTTCCTTCGTTTTGTGGATTCAAAACACCCACCTTGTGGATTCAAGGTAACATGTTCCTCGTGAACAAATTTATTGCTTCCGCTTACGTCAGTTGGTATCAGAGCCTTGTCTTTCCCTTTTTCCTAGTTTGATGGTAGATAAACGTGGTGATGGCAACCTTGCTCCCTACAAAGATCGACATAGAGAGGCTCCTTTTAGAGCCGAATTTCAAGACTATCAAAGTGAAACCCAGCAAACATTGCAAGATATTCAAGCAATGATTACTGGGTTTCACGTTGATAGTCTTGAAATTCGGCTCTAAAAGGAGCCTCTCTCTCTGTCGATCTTCGTTGGCAACGAATTTGTCATCACCACGTTCATCTGCCATCAGGAAAAGATAAGACTCTGATACCAACTGACGTAAGCGGAAGCGATAAATTTGTTCGCGAGGAATAGGTTACCTTGAATCCGAACTTGACGTAAGCGGAAGCGATAAATTTATTCACGAGGAATAGGTTACCTTGAATCCACAAGTTGGGTGTTTTGAATCCATAAAACGAAAAGAAAATTCAGAGAAATCTGATATATTATTTAATAATTGAATGAATAAAAGTTAATTCTACACTTTGCATTACACTTATTTATAATAATAGAAACCTAACTTTAGAAGAAAACTAAAACATAAAAGAAACCTAATAGTAAAAGGAAAACAATTCTTCAAAGAAATTTAATAAAACTACACTTCCTATAAAAAAAATATATATAAAAATAAAATAAATAAGAAATCAAAATAATAAAAATTACAAAGTAGATAAAATTGTCCTACATCAAGAAGGTTAGAAAACGTGATTGTTATAGAGAGAGAATATACTTTCTGGAAAATAGTTGAACATACAGGCCTAAAAGTTAAGCAGTTAGTAGTGCACACATTAACATATACAATCATTTTTATGGAGTTGTATTGTGGAAAAAACATCTTTATTTATTTTTTTATTTTAAGGAATATATATATAAAGGATGTGTCTCACCAGACACCACTTATTTTAAAGACAAATTGAAAGAGGTAAAATGTGAAAGAAAGGATGTTGTAGCTTGGCATTTAATTGAGCAGCTTGCCTTCGTCAACCCAGTTGTTACTAAATCACGTATACGGATTTTAAAAGAGGGGGAAGGAAATCTTTTGTTATTATTAATTTATAAGAAAAAGATGAGAATCTAAAACTTTTTGAAAGAGAAGGATTGAAGTGGAGAAGAATGTTTTACCCGTGCATGGAGCCGCTACCAAGAATAACTAATGAATGGTTGAAGAATATCCTTAGCATTGGGGTGGTCCCACTCCAGTGATTCCCACCATCCTTCTTGTCTTCCAGTTATATTGATGTTTTTAAGAGAGATGAGAGGAGAAGGTTGGCCATTAACAAGGGGCAGAGAGAAAGGGAGCCTCTTCAGCTTTCCACAATCCATTATTGAAATAACTTCAAGCGAATCACAAGCCATAAACCCCCTGCAGATGCTTTCCAATTCTCCGAGAAAAAACAGCCTCAAATGCCTTAACTTTGGAAGGGAGAAAATGGAAGAAAAAGAAGAAGAAAGATGGTTGTTGCTTGCACCCATTAGTTCGTCTTCATCATCTCCTATAATCTCCTCCATTCCATAACAGCAAGAGACATCAATAGTTTCAAGGTTTAAGAGGTGCTGCAGTAACCTAGGCGTAAACAGCTTCTTCATTTTGCCACAACTTTCAATTCTCAGCACTTTAAGATTGGAAAGGGTGCCAGGTGGAGGAGTTGCAGTTACTCCTCCCCTACTACTGTACTTAATCAGCCCACTTAATTTCGGCAAGTGATAAAGTCTCAATATCTCAAGGCTTTGAAGGAGTGGACCGCAACTTGGAAACTCTTCTTCAACTTGTGACAGTATGCACTCTATCCCATCACTGTCATAGATTCCACATTCTTTCAAGTCTTTTGCATTCTTGATCAATGAGGGAGGAACATCACATGAGCTACTGATATGGTGGCATCCATCAATTTCCAGGTATTGAATGTTGTGTGGCAGCTCCAAAAGCCCACCTTCTCCTTCATTCTTCAGACTGCAATTTCTAAACTTCACTACTATACCATATTTACATGGTTCATCTTTATAACCTTCAAAATTGCCTACGTGAAGACGGCAGATGTTCAACTGCCTACACACATTGGATTTAACAAATCCATTAAAATCAGACATACTGCACAGCCGCCCTTCAAATTCTTCCAACCGCCCCAACCTCTCCAATTCCACTCCTCGTACCTTAATTTGAAGACCAGTTCGAAGAACTTGGAGGCTTGAGAGTTCGGCTAACATCCCACGAGGCAACACCTTCAGACTTGATTTTATGACTTCCATGTCCATACCTTGCGGTACTTCTTCAATACAAGTACCAGTGAGGTCCAACAACTGTAATGCCCCAAGTTTTCCCAAAGGAGGCACATATCTGAGTTCTTTGCACCCCGTAAGAAACAATGCAGTGAGATTCTCCAAGTCCGATACATTACTAGGCAAATCCACAATTCCAGTATAGGATAAATCGAGAACACGAAGGGCACTCATTTGTGTGAAAAAACTATATGGAATCTGTTTTAGACCACTGTTGTTATTCAATAACAAGGTTGATAATTCAGGACACCTTGGTGACATGCCTGTTGGAATTTCTTTTATGGAATTATGCATCAAGGAAATACTCTCCAGATCTTCCTTCCATTCCTTCTCATCTGGCATTTCCTCCAAATACACAGCAACTTTTACCATGCATCGACATCTTGCAATCTCCAGTGCCATCTCTCTCATCAAATCATGCATCTTTACGCATCTCCTACCATAGCCATCCCTACAATTTTCAAGCAAGCAGGCGTTCTCAAGTTCACTTAACATAGTGTGACCTTTGTCAAACTGTGATCGCCTCGTCTTTCTTTTATCTATTAGTCCATTTGCAATGAATTTTTCTATCAATCCCTCTCTTTCAATTTTACAATCTTCATGGTAGAGCACGCAATACAAGAAACAACACTGCAATTCATCCCTTAAGCGACTATAGCTAAATCTCAATATAGGGAACACCTCTGCTCCCATGTCTTTCTGCCTCATCATGGATACTTCCAGTTCTTCCAATGCATTCCTCCATTCCCGGGTATCATCCACCCCCCTCATGCTTCCACCCATTGTTATTATCCCAAGTGGCAGACCACCACATTTTTCTGCCATGGACATTGCAATTTCTTTTATTTGTGGATTTTTTTGCCATGGAACTTCAATCCCCTCTGGCACAAGTTTCGCCACAAATAATTCCCACGCTTCATAGTCAGAAAGAGGTCTTACTTCAATTTTTTCTTGGCATCCCATCTTATGGCACACGTCCTGCAAGCGAGTAGTAAAAATCAACTTGCATCCATCCATACTTTCAGGAATTCCCACATCTTGTAGACTAAACTTTTCCCACACATCATCCCAAATGAGTACAAATTTATTCTTTATTTTCAATATTGCTTCTGAGATTTTGGCTGCCCTTCTCTTCCTTTCATTCTCCCTTGAGAGATGATCCAACCCCAATATATTGGCAATGTCATTCTGCAATTTATCAATGCTCCAATCTTGAGATACAGTGAGCCAGTGAACACGGCCAGAATTTTGTAGAAGTAAATTATGAACATGTGTTGCCAAGGTTGTTTTCCCCGATCCCCCCATTCCATAAATTCCAATGCGCTTGATATCATCTCTCGTTAAGCAATTCATAACGTTTTTCAAAATTTGTTCAAATTGTTGTCCCACTAAATTTTCTGTCAATAATGGCGCGACCTTGGTGTCATGCACATTGAGTACCAGTCCCTCGGGGAATCTACCTTGCTCAACAAGTTCTGTCACTTCATTTATCATTTTCTCAGCACGTTTTTTCAAAGGTGGATTTTGAAAAATAGAATTGGTTCGTTGTACATCTTGTTCCAGACTTTTAAATTCATTCATCTTCTTTTGCACTTCATCCAACCAATTCTCAACCTCTCTCTTTCGTTTCTTTCTCGTCCGAAACTCTGCATCTTGCAGCATTGCAATTACATCAGTCTGTCGGCTGCTCAATAATTTAATTTTGCTTATGAGAGTTTGCATCTCATCATCACAACAGCCGAACTTGCTTAGCAAGAACATCTTCTTAGCGGTAGCACAACCTGAAACCAAGAGGTCATATAATACACTCAAATTGTAAGATTATTTATTTAATTATGGCCCACATGATTTGGACATGTGACATATTACTTGGTGGGTAAGTAAATAGATATCAATTAATATTATTTATTTTTTATCAACTTATAATTACCTTTTTGGTAATTACTTATTGGAGAAGTGTTTTCCTTTCTTATTCCTTACTTTGATGGAAAGTAGAATTATGTTACTATAAGGAAAACTGGTCCTCTCTCTACCTTTATAAAAGTGCATATACTCCATCAATCATGTACAATTAATGAAACAACACATAAAAGTTTTATGTGTGCAAAAGGCCAAGAGAGAGAAACCAGTTTCCACTTTTGCCTGTTGATCAGAGTTGCAGATTAGTTCATGGCCAAAGGATCTGGACGTTGGACTTAATCTCAACAAGAATTGATATCGTGAATCGAAATATTTATATCTAACTAGTATTTATTTATGCATTATAGATATGTGAAAATCATGAAGTTTTAAGATTATGGGATTCATATTTATTTGTGATGAATGGCTTAACACGAATAATTATAGTTTACATGTGGTATCAGAGCTAACGGTTTATGAACTCATTATTTTTCATTAAAGTTGCATAAATAATATGTATAAATTTAAAATTAAATGATTATATAATCCATTCTTTTAGAATCATATGTTTAGATCAGTCCGTGTGGTTTTTGGGTTTGGGTACCTCAATTTTCGAGCCAAAATTAAATTATGAAAGTTGGTTACTGATACACAGTTTACATATGTATAATAGTACAAACGTATGCATAATGTGTGTAAGACAAACAACTTCAATGTTTTAGGTTACTGATTTTCGTGCATGACTAATAAAGAACATTGAATTAAAATAATAATAATAATAATAATAGCATTTGTCTTGCTATTGTTTTATAGAAACAGTCAGTTGTGAAAGGATTACAAAGACTCATAATTATTATTATTTAAAAATTAATATATACACAAAGTTTGTGTATTTATTTATTTTATTAAAGAGGTTTAAATTATTGTTATAAGTATTTGTCCAATGATTTGAAGATTCTAATTTTAATTTAAAATAAATTAAAATTAAAGTTATTGAATACATAAAATATATGTATTGATTTATTTATTTCAGGAATTTGAATTTCTAGAATAATTTGTGAGTTTAGAAATTTAATCTAATAAATTAGACATGCAAATAACTTGTTGTTTCGTATCCAAACATACATACATATTGTATAATCAATTTTAAATTGATTCAATTATGATCTTTAAGTCCGAAAATAAAATAATATATTTTATTATGTATATAAATTAAAAAGATATTTTCAATGAAATTTCGGACTATTAAGTTTTTGAGATCGAAGTTGCTTAAACTTTAATCGACAATTATGAGTATGTGTGTATAATGTTAAATGGGTAAATTAATAATTAATTAATTACTGGTTAATTTAATATTCATATTATGTGTGGATTAGTAGCTACCAAAATGGCCTAACCATAATGGTCGATGAATATTAATTTTAGTAGTAAATATAACTTAATGATGAATTAATTACTGTCTAATTTAATATTCATATTATGTGAAGATTGGTAGCTGCTAAAGTGGCCCAATCATAATGATTGATGAATATTAATTTTTGTAATAGACATAATTAATCATAAATTAGTTACTATCTAATTTAATATTCATATTATATAAAGGTTGGTGGCTACCAAAGTGGCCTAACCATAATAGTTGATGAATATTAATTTTAGTAGTAAATATAATTGCAATATTTCATGAATTATAATACTTATAATTTTTTGTGATATTCATGAATATTAATTTTATTTAATTATGAGAAATAATTCCTCAAAGGGAATTGATTTTTAAGTGATTAAATAAAAATTAAAGGGTCGTATGTTTTTTTTTTTTAATTAGGTAAATATAGGATATCCAAAGGTAACTTATTTGTTTAATTAAATAATGCATCACCAATAAAGGTATATATATAAATACATGTAAGTATCATTATTATTATTTTATAGTTGCCACCCAAAGGGGTACTATAGTTATAAATTGTATTTATATTTTTAAGTTATACATACGTGTTGTTAACTCAAAACATTATTGTTGTTAAGATTTTATCTTATTATATTTGTTTTATTACATCCCTTAATGCGCATGCTACATCTGTTCTGATTCTCAATATAACTAACTTCTCATAATGAAATGAGTAAGTTGAGTTCAAAATTTAGATGTATTAAATCTTAATTTATCATTTTAAATTGAGAAACTTACTGTTATTACTGATAAAAACAGTGAGGAAGAAAAGATTCTCTATAAAGCTTGGGAGAGATCGAACAGATTAAGCATTATGGTTATGCGAATAATTGTTCCTCATAGTGATAGTGCTAAGGAATATTTGATTATAAGAATGTTTTCGTGTTGTAGATAAATATCTAAAACGAAAATTATTAATTGATATAACTACTATGGATTTTTTGTTGGTATTCGTACCATGTATAATCGTATTTTTAGATGACTAATGTTGCTGCAAAATTGAGAACCTTATGGATGATTGTGAATGAGAATTTTCTTATTCAATTTATTCTCAATTTCTTGTCTATTTAGTATGGGTCATTTCAAATTAACACTATTCAGACAAGTGGAAAGTGATTTAATTGACCATTATGTTAATTTATGAGGAGACAAAACTTAAGTAGCAAGGTAATCATTATGTTCATTTGATGACTCAAGAAGTTAGAAAGAAATTTGGGAATAAGTCAGAACAGACGATAAGTGAGCAACACTCAAAATTAAAAGATTTAGGTCAATCTACCTAAAGAAATTAATGTAGTAATGAAAAAATGTTATTAATGTATTGAACACTTTTAGAAAGATTATATGAAATATAAAGAATGATTCAAAAAAGAATGGTAAGTTTTTGACTTTTATATATTTCGAATTATTTATTGAAATTCTTTCTAATATATGATAGGTTGATTTAAGTAGTAATGTTTATGTTTCTAATAAATGCAAAAAAAATTTATGGCCTAAACCACAAATTCAAATAAGAATTTCTTATTTGATAATTGGGAAAAAGTTTTGTTGAAATCATTGTGACACTATGTTTAATGTTAGACAGTGGATTTTATTTAAATTATTTTAAAAATTTTATGTTTATTCAATTTCCCATAATTTGATTTTATTTCAAAAACTTTATGTTAATGGTTTTTCATTTAAATTTGGTAATGATATTTATTTAAGAAATTATAATTTGTGAGTTATGGCATTATTGTTGATGATTTCTGTAAATTCAAATTTGATGGTTTATTTATTAAAATCCTTTTGATCTTGTATCATAATGTTAGAATTAAGCGTAACTCAATTAATAGAAAATTTATCTTTGACATAAAAGACTAGGTCAATATCTAGTGAAATGTTAGGAAAATTAGTAAAGGATGTGATTCTTTTGAATCTAAACTTTACTGATTTTGATGTGTGTGTAGATTGTATTAAGGGTAGACAAACTAAACGCACAAAGAAATGAGTCACAATAAGTACATCGTTTCTTGAAATTATTTGTAGACCTTCTAATGTTCCATCTTTTGAAGGAGAAAAGTATTTTATCGCCTTTATAGTTAATTTTTCATGTTATGGATATATCTATTTGTTGTATGAAAAATCTCAAGTAGTGGTACTCTTGAAGTATACATAAGTGAGGTTGAAAAACAATTAGATAGAAAAGTGAAAATCATAAGGTCATATAGAGGTGGTGAATATTATGGAAAGTATGATGAAACGGGTTAATACTCTAACCGTTTGTTAAACTCCTTGAAATATATGACATTTGTGCTCAATACACTTTGCTATACATGCCACAGTAGAAGCGTGTAGCTGTAAGGCGTAATCGTACTCTTATGGAATTGGTTAGGATTATGTTAAGTAATTCCTCGTTACCCATAATGTTGTGGATATTAAGTAATCTAAAGGGTACAAGTTTTACTATCCGAAACATAGTACGATAATTATTGAAACCGGTAATGTCAGATTCATTAAGAATGGTAAAATCAGTGGGAGTGATAAAAATAAGAATTTGATCATTTCAGAAGTTAGGGTACAAATATCTTTACCCATAACTTATAAGGAAATAATTGTTCCTTCAGTTGTTGAACTGTATAACAACGAAGAATAATTAAATGATCAACAACTCTATAATGAGATTATCACCAATGAATAGATTGTAGAAGAATTATAAGGAATAACATTAAAACGATCTCAAAAAGAAAGGAGATCTGCTATTCCGGATGACTATGTAATATATCTGCAAGAATCTGTTTTTGATATTTAGTGAGATATATACGGATCCGGTTACATATTCACAAACCATTAACAGTAATGATTTTACTAAATGGATTAGTGTCATGAATGAAGAGATTATAAAGAAATCTTCTCTCTAGTATTTAAGAAGGAATCTTTTAAAATATCATGGCATTAGTAGCTTATTATGATTTAGAGTTACATCAAATGGATGTGAATACAATTTTTATGAATAGGAGTTTATAAGAGGAAGTCCATATGAAACAACTTGAAGACTTCATATTAGAAGGTAAAGAATTCATGATCCGTAAACTTAAGATGTCAATATATGGATTTAAACAAACTTCCTAACAATGGTATATTAAGTTTAATGATACCATTATTTCTTTTGGTTTTAAGAAAAATACTGTTGATCAGTGTATATAATAGAAGGTTAGTGGGAGTAAGTTTATATTTCTGATTATATATATTGATGATATTTTATTTGTTAGTAGTTATCTTAGTTTATTATATGAAGCTAAAGGTTATCTCTAAGAACTTTGAAATGAAATATATGGATGAGGCATCCTATGTGATAGGAATAGAAATATTTCACTATAGATCACATTGATTTGTTTTTAGAATTGTCTCATAAAGCATATATTAAAAGAGTTCTAGAAGATTTGGTTGAAGGAACAATATTATGAAAAAGTGCAAAATAATTTATGATTACTTTGTCTATTATGAAATTTTAATTTATAGCATGCTTTGAGGCTATAATTTATGGTTGCAGAATTTATTTCAGGACTTGGAGTTATGGGTACCGTTTTCAGATTGCTGAAAATTTATTCTGCAATTGTTGATCTTCTTGTATGAAAAATGATAGGTATTCTAAAGTTAAAATATTTTATTATTAAAGAAGATATTTAGAAACAATGAATGTCTATTGAAATTATAAGCACACAACTTATGATTGCAATCCATTAATGAATGGACTACCATCCAAGACATTTATAGAACATGTTGAAAGAATGGGTCTTAAATGTAGTCAATGATGATTATTTTTTAATTGTGGATTGCTTAAATAGTGCTTATATATATTTGATATTTTGCGCTGATTAAATGTGTTTCTGATATTTCCTATTAATTAATGTACATGTACGTATTGCTTTAATAAGTGGTAATAGGAATAGTCTTGAAAAAGACATTATTATTAGATCATTATTGATACTTCTCATTTATAGACTATGTTGAATAGATTACTAGTGTTGTGGTACATGGAAAGGATTGTGTCATTTAAGGATATATAACCGCCATGACTCGCATTGGTAATTTATTTACCATGGTATTTATGATGACCAATTTAATGAGTTAATCTGATTTATGGTGCAAATTAATGACTATTTTACTAAACCACTACAGAAATTATCATATGTGCTAAGTGGGAGAATGTAAGATTATTTATTTAATTGTGGCCCACATGATTTGGACATGTGACATATTACTTGATGGGTAAGTAAATAGATATCAATTAATATTATTTATTTTTGGTCAACTTATAATTACCTTTTTGGTAATTACTTATTGGAGAAGTGTTTTCCTTTCTTATTCCTTACTTTGATGGAAAGTAGAATTATGTTACTATAAGGAAAACTGGTCCTCTCTCTGCCTTTATAAAAGTGCATATACTCCATCAATCATGTACAATTAATGAAACAACACGTAAAAGTTTTATGTGTGCAAAAGGCCAAGAGAAATAAACAAGTTTCCACCTTTGCCTGTTGATCAGAGTTGCAGATTAGTTCATAGCCAAAGGATCTGGACGTTGGACTTAATCTCAACAAGAATTGATATCGTGAATCGAGGTATTTATATCTAACTAGTATTTATTTATGCATTATAGATATGTAAAAATCATGAAGTTCTAAGATTATGGGATTCATGTTTATTTGTGATGAATGGCTTAACACGAATAATTATAGTTTACATGTGGTATCAGAGCTAACGGTTTAGGAACTCATTATTTTTCATTAAAGTTGCATAAATAATATGTATAAATTTAAAATTAAATGATTGTACAATCCATTCTTTTAGAATCGTATGTTTAGATCAGTCCGTGTGGTTTTTGGGTTTGGGTATCTCAATTTCCGAGTCAAAATTAAATTATGAAAGTTGGTTACTGATACATAGTTTACATATGTATAATAGTACAAACGTATGCATAATGTGTGTAAGACAAACAACTTCAATGTTTTAGGTTATTGATTTTCGTGCATGACTAATAAAGAACATTGAATTAAAATAATAATAATAATAATAATAATAATAGCATTTGTCTTGCTATTGTTTTATAGAAACAGTCAGTTGTGAAAGGATTACAAAGACTCATAATTATTATTATTTAAAAATTAATATATACACAAAGTTTGTGTATTTATTTATTTTATTAAAGAGGTTTAAATTATTGTTATAAGTATTTGTCCAATGATTTGAAGATTCTAATTTTAATTTAAAATAAATTAAAATTAAAGTTATTGAATACATAAAATATATATATTGATTTATTTATTTCAGGAATTTGAATTTCTAGAATAATTTGTGAGTTTAGAAATTTAATCTAATAAATTAGACATGCAAATAACTTGTTGTTTCATATCCAAACATACATACATATTGTAGAATCAATTTTAAATTTATTCAATTATGATCTTTAAGTCCGAAAATAAAATAATATATTTTATTATGTATATAAAATAAAATGATATTTTCAATGAAATTTCGGACTATTAAGTTTTTGAGATCAAAGTTAATGAAATTTTAATCGACAATTATGAGTATGTGTGTATAATGTTAAATGGGTAAATTAATAATTAATTAATTACTAGTTAATTTAATATTCATATTATGTGTGGGTTAGTAGCTACCAAAGTGGCCTAATCATAATGGTCGATTAAAGTTTAATATTCATATTTATTTGTGATGAATGGCTTAATACGAATAATTATAGTTTACACAAATAACAAATCAAAAAACCTTCAACAGATTATGACGATTATGTATCGAAGTTTAGAAAGATATATTTGTCATATGAGGACTTGATTAGTATACATTTTTGTTTATTATAGTTTATTTTTTTCCCATGAAGTGATACGACTCCACATGTAGGGTGAAATCAATTTAAAGTAATTATCCCCAGTTTTCAAAAATTAATTCTTTCGCAAGGCATAACCAAAGAAATAATAAATAAATAAATATAATGAATCCCGTGGACAATTTTAACTCTTCCATATACAGTAGGGAAAATTAGATTTTGATGACCAAACCTAAACAAATTTGTTCAAAAGTGACCCCAAAGTCGAGAAAAGATGAAAAGCCACCAATTTTGAAACTTAATTGCTAACGAGTGACCATTAAGAATAATTTGGTCAAAATATTTACTTATTTATTACACATTTTAAAAATAATTTTTAGATGGTAAAATTGCCTTTGGATTCATCATCCTCTCTTTCTCATCCAACCTTCTCTTTTTTCTTTTTTAGTTTGCAAACTTACCAATTAAAACATTAAGTTTCTTTACTAACCTCATCTCTTGAAATTAGGGTTTTTGTAAACTTTATCTTTTTTTCAAAATTCTTCACCGTAGTCAGAACTAAGCACATAACCAAAACTAAATACAAATATTACTTATTTATATCAACTTGAAGTTTATATGTCATATATATTAATAATATCAATCAGGAGTTTCTAAACCCCACACCTATCAAATTATACCTATATGTGTATTGTATATTATATAACTACCCATGTAATAAAGTAGTCATCACATTTTCCTAGTAACATCTCACTTTATTATTATGGTAAAACAGTGTATGTGTAATAATTTAATATGTTTAATTGTGTTTAATGTATAAGGTAAATTTGTTCAATTAAAAAATAATGTATTACAAGAAGAATATTTAAGTAATAAACTATCAAATGGTCACTTGCTAGTTATTAAATTTTAAAATTGGTAACTATTCATCTTTTCTCAACGAACACTGTATAACAATTTTGTTTCAATTTAGTCACCAAAGTCTAATTTTTCCTATACAGTATCTCTTACTTTGACAAATCACCTATATTTAAAATAAAAAAATAAAAACCATCAACAAGACCTTATCTGATCTATCAACCCAAAACCCAACTTAACCACATCTATGACTCATTTTTGGTAGAATGTGTATTTTGTAATTTTTACTATATTTGCAAATATGATGTATAGTAGTCACAATAATACGGTAATTATTATTATCTAATGATACCCATAAATAAGATTCTGGCACAAGGTAGGTAAACATATGGATCCATAATAAACGGAATAAATTAATCCTAACTGTACAATTTAGTTAGGCTAGGGATCCACTTGAATACATGTGATTTGGAATTTGGTTGCTAAGTTGCTTGACCAATCATATGAAGGTCAACTGAGCTTCTGCAATTCTTTTCCCCCAATAAACTAGCTAGCTATTTCACAGATCCAGTGGGATGTGTTTGATGGTGAAAATTACACCATACCCCTGGAAATCAATCTTTAATTTGATGCAATAAAAATAACCATAGCATGCCTGATCTTAATTTTGTATTTTTTAAAAAATATATATAATAGTAACCAGGTAGAAATATATAGAAAATTAAGCAGATCTACAAAAATAAATAAATAAATAAAAATTAAGGCAGATAACATACCTAAGTTGACCGGTACTCTAGAACCCTAGACTTCAATCTTCAAATCCTGCACTTCGATTAGATTGCAAAAGACAGCAGATCAGAATCAGAGCAGGAGAAAGATAAGGAACTGTCCTAGTTAGAGATGAATAATCAATAAATAAATGTGATTCAAAGACACTACACCTGCGCCTGAATTTTCCCTATCCTTTTACAAAACTCGAGTTGCCACTGGCCAGCAAACAGATAAAAAGTCGATACTTATTTTGGATGATGACCAACAAGTCAAATTCAGTATCTTATACTGTGAGTTCAGACGGTGTTTCCAGGTAGGAGATTCCAAGAAGGAATTTTTTTTATTTTTTTATTTTTATTTTTATTTTTATTTTTAAATAAATTACACTGACACCTCCTAAAGTTTCAATACCCCCTCTATGCCCAAACACCGTAGTAGAAAAAAAAAATTTTAAACGGCCATGACCAACCCATACTTATATGTTCAAAACACCACCAAAACCACCACCATACCAAAACAACACCACCGCCACCTCCACACCAAGGCAACACCAGCAACACACCAAGACATTACCAGAATCACCATCACCACTACAATAGAAAAAATAAAAATCCAAATTTTGAAACACTTTGAAAACGTAGACATCACCATAACCACCACAACTACACCCAAACCACACCACAACAACCACCAGCAGAGTAGAAAAAAAATTAAAAACAACCAAGGTTAGCCTAGACCCACCACAAATAAAAAAAATAAAAAATAAAAAAAAATCAGCCATGTCCAAAATCGGGAAGAGAACAAGTGAGTGTCGGCGGCTAGGTAATAAATTGAATTAAAAAAAAAAAAAAAGTTAAAGATTATGGTAGAGAAAGAGGCTTAATGATGAGAGTAATTTTGTCAATTAACTTGGCTTATATTTTGTAAATTAATTGAATTAAATAAACAGTGACAAATATGACATTTGAAACCACATAGGGTGTCATTGATAAAAAAAGGCATTGACCCACATCTTAGTGACATTGACCAAAACATCAAAGAGTGTCAATGCAATTTACCCTTTTTATTATTAATCCGTATTATTATTTTTTTTTCGGGCTACAAAGAGGGCTAAAGGGAAGGGGAGGAGACTTCAGCTTCAAGGGCTGAGACAAGTCAACTGGGAAAATAGGCCACCGCATATCACTTTACTTATAATGCAAGGCCTATTTGCCAATATTATGGCCTATGGAATTACAACATGTAGGAGCCCAATAGAGAGAAAAGTCCTTCTGGTATGCGAAGAGGATTTCAAGCCATGTTTGGTGGAGCTTCCTGAAGCCTCAAAGAGTCCTTCCAAGTTTGAAAAGTCCATTTGAATTTTTTTTTAATGTTTCGTTACATATATCTAAAGGGCTTTCTCGAAAAGCCAATGGTCAGAAAGTCCATTTTAAAGAAGTAAGAAAATGTTGCTTTTGAAACCTCATTTTCAGAAGTCAATTTTTTTTTTATTTTTTTAAGAATAAATTTGTTATTTTACTAATTTGCCCATATACTTTTCATAAATTAACAAAATTGTCCTATATTCCACCACCACTACCATTACCACTACCACATTCCACTATCACCTTCTAACACCACCACCACCATTGCCACTGCCATCTTCCACCATCATGCTCCACCACTACCGCCACCAACCACCACCACTTTCCATCACTACCTTTTGCCACTACCACCACCTTCCACCACCGCCATTGTGACCTTCCACCATTTCCACCTTCTACCATCGTCATCGCTACCTTCCACCACTACCACCATCGCCGCCGCCGCCGCCCCTAATCGCAACCATTCGCCACTGCCACCACAGCCAACATCATCACATTCCAGCACCACCACTGTAATACCCCTAATTTTAAAAGGATAGTCCTGATATTTTAATTAAGTATTTTGTTGCATTTTTAATTATTTAATTGTTTTGTTGCTTGGTTATTTGAATTAATTGTTATTATTTGAATTATTTGAATTAGTTGAATTATTTGGATTATTTGATTTAATTAAATTATTTGATTTAATTGGTAAATTATTTTTATTTATTATGTGTTTTTAATTGATTTATTATAGTTGTTTAATTATGTACATAAGTTAAACGAGTATTTAAATACGTTATTTACTTGGGGTTTTCTTTTAGAAGTCACGTTTGTTTAGCCGACATAGATTATAACTTAGGTTTTATTCTATGGGCCGACTAGGATTTAATTAGGGTTTTGTCTCTAATTATACATGAACTAGGGTTTTAGTTAGAATTAGGGTTATATGTTTCTAAGCCTATAAATACACCATTACGTTTTAGCTTAGGGTTTTGAAGAACATAACACAGAAACATAAACCTAAAGTTGGCTCACGTAAGAGAGGCTTGAAAGAACAAAGAGCGGCTTGAGAGGAAAACAGAGAGGACCAAGGAGGTTGATTGTGGATTAAAGACGGAGGAGTAGGAGGATTGACTGTATTCAGTATTGTCGGAAACTTAGAGACGACGCCTAGATTTCATAACTGAAATCACAGCCAAGTTATTTTCTTTCTCTCTCCCGTTGGCATGTGTTCTGTGCACCTAGATAGGCTCTAGGGTTTTAATGGTTCATTAACTGAATTGTGCATGTTTATTATTATGTTAAATTGAATATCTGTATGCGTTGAATTAATTCAATTACGGTTCTTGCAAGTTTTGTTACAGTGTTTGATTTCTTAAGCATGTTTAATCGGTACGTGTTCTAAGGTTTTTAATAATGCAAACTGGTTTAAATAATGGACTAGGATGATACTGGACACACTTAGGACTCTTAAGATCAGTTTTAGAAACTAACAGAATGGTAGGAATAGGCCGGAGACGAAGTAGAAGGTTGGAAACGTAGCAGGAAGCGAATTGAACTCTCAAAGAGGGAGAGAGCCGGCTCCCCCCTTCATAGAGCCGGCTCCATGGTGCTTAGAGCCTGCTCTGTTGGTTAGAGAGCAGGCTCCCTTGTTTGGCTTTGTTTGGACGTGTTTCTGGAACAGTTTTGGATGTGTTTGGGATTCTGAATTGTTTCAAGGACTGGACTGAGAATTTTAAAAGTAATTTCAAGGGATTTTAAACTCTCTAATTGCATAATTTGATCCATAGAGCAAATAGAATAAACAGTCTAAAAATAAACAACTTTGCATGCTTAAACGAATAAGAAGGATTAAATTATTTAATCTGGTTTTAACAGTTTAAGGGATTGTAGCATGGACTCTAAACATGTTATTATGCTATATTAGGACCCACCATGCATAAATTATCTCTATATGCTAATGGTTCTCACAGCGTGGAAGTTTTAAGCAATGTCACACACTGTTGACGGATATAACGTATTTAGTTGCTTAGACTTATTTTAGCAACTAAGATGACTGGAGTATGACTTCTAAATTTATTTTGGAGGCATAATAGGGTTTCATACATATTAGACTTTATTATATTTCTCTTGGATTTTAATTGAAGAATTATTAAAATATATTCTGTCAATTACATGGGATTATGTGTTGGATCATAATTGCTGAATTCTCATATTAAATTCTGTCAATTATCTGGAATTATGTATTGGATTATAATTGCTAAATTCTTATATTAAAATCTGTCAATTATCTGGATTTGTTTGTTGGACTATAATTGCTGAATTAGTACACTAAATTCTGTTAATTATATGGATGTTGTGAATTGTATACATCGGTATGGGACGGTGGCATACTAGGATGGTTTAGCTCAAAATGCTAAAACCTACCCTATTGGAATAAGGGAATGGATTGTAAAAATTGAATCCTAATTATATTTAGATCAGATCAACTGAGTAAGTTGAGTGACTACCTGGATTAACTGTTAGTTGAAGTTAAGTCATATCAACTGAATAAGTTGAGTTACTAACTGGATTATGAATCCTATGTCAAATCAATGAACAATTGGGTGACATACTATGGTCTTGGATGGACTTTAGATATATGATTATGGTACTACGATGTGAGCTTGAGTCTCATAGTCGATGGTTAGGACGAGTATATCAGTGGATGCGTAGCTGGCTATGATAGGTTGAGGTGTACCATGTTAGGTCTAGGTACTCATGCCCACCTTTGGGTGCCTTTTTGCATGTTGCTTTCTATTCAGGTTAAGGCCCCCTTCGTAGTCCAGTGAATGTCTCTTAGTGTGGATATATATGTATTTATGGACTAGATAGATATTGTGAGATGTCTAGGGTATATTTGTGTATCGGGTCACTGTATGGATTGTAGTTAGATTAGAACTTGTTCGTGGGCCTGACCCACTCTTATATTTTTCAGGTATCGAACGGTTCCAGTCTTAGGCATGATCGTGCTGAGCAGAGACTATCGTTCACTCTACCGACGACGTAGGATATCAGTCCATGTTTTAGATTTGGTTTTATTTTCAGTTACTTTATGTTCAGTTGGGATTTGATTTAGGGGTCCACTAGATGGATTCCCGAGTTGTACTCTTGAAGGTTTTGGAGAATTGGGTTTTATAAATCTTTGTGAGGAGGATATTCCATTTAATAAATTCTTTCAGCTTTATTATTTAATTATGAATTCTTTTTATATTCTGTGTTCATTTTAAAATGTTAATTGTTTGATATTCCATCGGGTTTGGGCTCGGGCCTGATCAACCCGTGTCTTGGATCCGAGGTGTATCACAACCACCACTCTTAACCGCCACTTTCCATCACCATCATCACTATCACAATTGCCTTTTGCCACCACCACCACCAGCATTATCATCGCCTTCCACCATTGATGCCTTCTCCCTTTTATTGGAGGCTTACAGTGATGGTCAAGGATAAAGTATATTATTGTGATACCCCTCGATTCTAGAGCCACGGGTGATCAAGTCCAAGCACAGATTCGAGGGATACCAAACAATTAATATATAAACAAGCAGAAAATAAAAACTAAATTAAGAATAAACTAATAATACGCTGAATGAAATCTAAAATAAGAAACCTCAAACTTGAAAACTAAATTAAGTATAATTTAAAACCGTACAACTTGGGAATCCACCTAGTGGACCCCTAATTCCAAATCCTTGAATAAATTTACAAAATTTAAATCTAAAATTAAAATCGAAAGGAAGTCCTATGTAACCGGAAGAGTGAGTGTTTGTATCTGCATCAACACGATTAAGCTCTCAGCCTGGTACTGTTGAACACCTGAAAAATAAATAAGTGGGTCAGGCCCACATGCAAGTCCTGATCTATTACGATCCAAACAGGAATTCGATACACAGATACATCTTAGATAGACTCAACAATATCTAGAGTAGTCCATATATGTATATATTACACACTATGGGACACTCACTAGTCCAATAGGTATGTCTCAGCCTGAGTAGAAATACCATGTAAATCGCACGTAATGTGGTCATGTGTACCTAGACCTACCAGGGAACAAAATCACTGTCCAGTTATCCATCCTAGGCGATATACGCACCCTAACCATGGTCCTGAGACTCAAGCTCATACCATGGCACCATAACAAAAATATATAAAGTCCGTTCAAAGTGTGTCATTCAAAAAG